CGTCTTTGTGCAGAGGCGTCTCCATGAGCAAGGATGAAGCATTTTTCTAGACTGGACGTGTAGGAGGGGAATTTCTGGTTCTAGAGTGTGTGTGTGTTGGTTTCAACTACCTGTTGTCTAGTTCTCCAAAGCCTTTTGACTTCACTAGCAGTGATGAAAAAGTTCCTGCATCCCTGTCAGTGTTTGGGGTCACTGTTCTTTTTAATTTTTTTCTATCCAAAAGGTGTGAAATGGTGTCTGATGGTTTTAATTTGCATTTCCCTGCTCACTGTTGAGGTCCAGCACACGAACACACCCCCATCCTGCCCCTCCTCCTTCTATGCTCTTGCTGACTTCTTTTCTCCTGACACCAATGTTAGAGGTTGTTGCCTCTGCCTGTTTTTAAGTATTAAGATCTGAGCAGTGCAACCTGACAACTGAAATTTGGTGTCTTGTCTGAAATTACAGGATGTTCCTCAGGCCTCTGTGTTTCCATGGGAACAAGTAACAGTCATCCTTCATGATTAGGCGGTATCCTTGGCAACCAAGCCAGCAGCATTTGAATGAAACTGATTTTATTTTATTTATTTTTTTTTGCAAACACATGAAGGTTAAAATGCGCTTCTCGGGCCGTGGCTTCCAAGAATGGGAAGACAACTTGCCTTTCCTGGTAAAATGGAGACTCTTTGACCTCCTAATGGAAAGGGGATCCAGGATCAGCTGGTCCTGTAGCCTAATTATGCAGGTTGGGAGCCCGGGAGGTCATGTGGAGGTCACACAGTGAGACTGAGCAGAGGGAGGACTCCTGGACCAGTGCTCCGAGGTCTGGGGGAGACTGGAGGAGGTGCTGCTTCTCCCTCCCTGGAATGTGCCTCTAGGGAGGCGCCTTGTGCTGCACCATGTTAGCAGATTCTTGTAACCTCTCTGGGCTTCCACTTGCACCAGCTGTGTAGCTTAGACCTCTGGGGGCATGAGACCCAAGCCTGTCTTCTTCTCCAAATTAGAAAAAGATGGGCTGTAAATCAAAGGCCGCAGGCAACTGTGTTTTTGTCAAGGACTTGGGCTAAATCCCGAGAGGCAGAGTTAGGACTTGGGGTCAGCTTTGTGGCGTCTTTGCTTGAGTAAAATAAAGGGGTTGTTTTTGTTTTGATGACGGGAAATAGAGACAGTTGCTGCTCTGACTGCCTGACTCACTGGATTGCTGATATATCATGAGCTCAGAGACAGAGAGGGGCTGGCCTGGAGTCACACAGCAGGATCCGGGTTGAGTCCCGTCTCCTAGTGCCAGCCTTGGGCTCCTCCCCCTCCCTATGCTCCAGGTAGCCTCCGCCTTCTCTGAGGCCCTAAGTGTGGGTTTTGGGGGACAGCTGAAGGGGCTTTCAGCATATCCTCTTACTTCCTACTCGGGGGAACTTTAGAGGAAGTCCCTTTTGCCTCCCAGAACCCCAGTTTCCTCATCTGGAAAATGGAGCTCCCCACAGCTGTCCGAGTTGTCATCATGTGGGGATTGTCTTTGAACGGGTCCAGAACTTGCATTCTCAGTGGGGGCAGTGTTGCCCCCAAGAGGGCAAAAAATTGGTTCTTGGTGGGGGGGAGTGTCAAAAAACATCTTACTCTTTTTCTGTATAAAGCCCAATATACATATAGTACATAAAAGATGCTTACTCTATATGTGGTATTAAAAGTTTATGCAGGGGGGAAATAGGAAAAAAGGGTCCAAAAAGACTCCTTGGGGGAAGGATAATGAATAAAAGGTAGAAAAATGCTGGTCAGAACCAGCAAGCCACGAGGTTAGTGGTGTTAACTTTGTTTAGAGCGTGTGGCAGGCATGGGGAAGGTGTTTGGGGTGTCGGATTGGGAGAGAGCCTGGCTTGGCCCAGACTCTGCCCTGATGTCCGGGGTGACCATGGGCATGTCACCGCTGCTCTCAGGCCTGGTTTCCCATCCGTATGTAAAGGAGGTCCTGTCAGCTCCATGAGTGGGGACCGGTTCTCAGGCAGCTGAGATCCCGCCTGGTGGATCACTCGGGGTCCAGCAGGAAGCAGATGGCGCTTACAGCAGGATCATTTGAGATGTGGGCGGGTGTGGGGAAACCATGAAGAGGAGGGCAGGACCCCAGAGCTGGTAACAGCCGGGGCTGATCCGCCAAGGCCCTAAGGAGGGGAGGAGAGTGTGGTTACTAGAGGCGAGAGCCCAGGAGACAGGGTTGTCTTCCTGGTAGCTGGGACCGTCAGTGGAGGGAGGCAGCCGGCCCAGGTGACGCTCCTCCCTCCGCTGATCTCCCGCCAGGGCTCCCCATTGGCCAAACCCCGTGGAAGCTGGAGGGCCCAGAAGCTCCGTTGGTATGGTCTACGTGGGTCAGCTTCCTGGAGCAGAAGGCAGGGGGGAGAAGGATGGAGGATGCAACTGGGGCCAAGCAGAAGCTGCCTGGAAAGGTACCAAGGTTCCCCTTCAGTTTCCTCTGGAGTTCAGGGCCCGGCCCTGGGCATAGACTTGGAGGCTTGAGAGGGTCTTTGCTATAGAGCTGTTGGGCTGGGGGCAATGGACAAGTTCCTTTCTTCTGGTCTCAGCCTCCCCATCTGTGAAATGGGTGACAGGACCAAGCAACCCCTGAGGGCCTCCTGCCTCAGACCCAGGAGGCGAGAGATGGCATCCTCGCAGCTTGTGGGGAACATGAGTCTTGGTCTCAGCTGCCTTCCTGGGCTCCTTGTGTCCTACCTCGTGACTCCATGTCTCTCTTGCCTAGAACCATGATGGCCCACCTGCCCAGGAAGGGGTGGTGAAGCTGTGGCCAGGGGTGTGTGTTTCGGAGGAGGGAGGGTAGATCCTGAGAGGCTTCTGGAGGCTGAGCACAGTGCCCCACAAGTGAGTCAGACAGAGTGGTCATGGTGGACCCCCAGGTGGAGGTGACAGGGGTTGGGGGAGAGGTGAAGGCAGGCTGGGGAGCACAGAAAGAGATTTCCTAGGGGAACCTCCAGACAGAATGAGTGTCCCCTAGAGTGACCAGCAGAGACCGTGGCAGAGGAGTGAGGAAGGTGTGAACAGGCAGCACCACAAGGACGTCAGTGAGGCCCTAAGAGATGGCAGTCCCTGGGGTTAGGAGGAGCTGAGCGGAGGAAGCCTTTCTGGAGGAAGTGGCCCGGGGCTGGCAAGTCCACGTCCAGACCTGGTGTTAGCCCCTGCCCCAGGCCTGCCCAGTGGTCAGCTGGGGTTGAACCTGTCTCTGCAGGCGGCCCACCTCCCCCAGGCCCAAGGTGGCTTCGCCTGCTGGGTCGTTGGCCAGGGCTCAGCATGGAGCCTGTCCTAATGGGGTGACGGGCTCAGCTCTGTCCTTCCCCACTTCTGAGGACCCCATCCAATCTGGCTGCATCTGTCCTGGCTATGTGCACGTGTCCATGCGTCCACCCATGACGAGTCCCTGGGGGTGGGTCTGAGCAGGTACACGTCGGACTGTCTGCATAGATGTGAACATGTGCATGTGTCTGCTGGGCGTGCGCCTCTGGCTCTGCACCCGTGTGTGTTCACGTGTACCAGGGAAATCTCCGCCTCGTCCTTTTCCTTCCTTGCGAGTCAACAGGTTTTTCCCAAGCACCCCCCACGCACCAGGCTCCATGCAGGGCGCTGGGGACATGGAGATGCAGCCGGCTTAGGCGTGGGTGTTAGGAGTTCCGCAGTCAAGCGCAGGAGACACACACACACACATACACAGACACACACAGTGTGCAAAGTGAGAGCGTTGATGGAGAGACTCAGGCCCGGCTGTTGCTATAGGAGCCAGAAGGAGGCTGAGAGCTGGGGGCAGAGACGGTTACCAAGGGTGTCCTCCAGGGCCTGCAGGATGGGTCAGGCTGGAAGGAGCAGGAAGGGAGTCCTCTGGGCGGCCACAGCCAGAGCAGTGGGAAAGAGGCAGCCAGTGCCAAGCATGGTGTGGAGGAACTGGCAAGGACAGTGGGCAGCTTGGGCTGACTTGGGAGGTTTTAAGCAGGCATGCTCGGGCCATGGCTAAAAGTTTGTTTTTTGTTTTTTGTGGTTTTTTTTGGTGAGGATGATTGGCCCTGAGCTAACCTCTGTTGCCCATCTTCCTCTTTTTGCTTGAGGAAGATTGTCTCTGAGCTAACATCTCTGCAAGTCTTCCTCTATTTTGTATGTGGGACGCCGCCATAGCATGGCTTAGTGAGCAGTGTGTAGGTCCACGCCCAGGACCCGAACCAATGAACCTTGGGCCGCTGAAGCAGAGTGCATGAACTTAACCACTGGGCCATGGGCCTGGCCCCTTGGGTGAGCTTTTTTAAAAAAATTGTGATAAATATATATATATTACATAAAATTTGCCATTTTAATCCTTTTTAAGTATACAATTCAGTGGCATTAAGTATGTTTACAATGTTGTGCAACCCTGTCCAGCATCTATTTTTGTCTTTGCTAGCACTGCAAACAGAAACTCTCTACCATTTAGCAATAACCCCTCATCCACCCCACCCCTAGCCCCTGGTAACCTCTAATCCACTTTCTTTCTCTACGAATTTGCTATTCTAGGTATTTCATATGTGTGGATTCATACCATATTTGTCTTTTGTGTCTGGCTTATGTCACTCAGCATGTTTTCGGGGTTCGTTCACACTGAAGCACGTCTCAGAACTTTCTTTGCTTTTTCTGGTGGAATAACATTCCATTGTGTGGATGTATCACACTGTCTGTCTGGTCATCTGTTGATGGACGCTTGGGTTGCTTCTGCCTTTTGGCTGATGTGCATAACGCTTTTACGGAGATTTGCATACAAGTTATTTGTCTGTGTCCAGGTTTTCAGTTCTCTGAGGTACAGACCTAGGGATGGAATTGCTGGGTCATGTGGTAATTCTGTCTTTAACTTTTTGGGGAACCGCCCAACTGTTTTCCACAGTGGCTATGCTATTTTATGGGGACCAGTTGTCTGTTGTCCTGGTCAGGATGGGAATGACAGGAGAGTCTGACTGGGTGGCCACGACTGCCCGTGCTCACCCTCTCTCTCCCTCTATTGACAGAGTCGCCCCAAGAAAGGCCGGGCTCGCGGCGCAGCCTGCCCGGCAGCCTGTCGGAGAAGAGCCCCAGCATGGAGCCCTCGGCCGCCACGCCGTTCCGGGTCACGGTAACTATCTCTGCGTCACCATCGCCACCTGGCCCGGGGTGCTGCTCTGTGGCCCTGCGGCCCCCCTTCCTGGAGCCTCATGGACCGGGAGAGCATCCAGCCTCCCTTGTTCTAGGTATCCGATCGCTCAGCTGCTCCCCTCTCTGTGGCTCAGCCCCGCCCCTGGGGGCCGCACGGGGGTCCCATCCTGCAAGGGGGTGGGCAGGTACAGGACAGATAGCCCTGCGGCCACGGGGCCTGGAGCTGAGCTGGCCTGGGAGGAGAGAGACTAGTGTTAGCTGCACATACCCCATGCTTCCTCCACTCTTAAGATGCACAGTTTTTGTTTCCACATTTTAATATCTCTCATGTTCCAGTCCGTGGTGTGTCGTAATTTAATTGCTGTGGTTTTTTTTTCTTGGTGGCACATAAAAGAGTGCTGTATCTTATAATTGATGATGTCTTAGAATGGACAAAACATGGTATAACTATCTTACCTATTGATTTTAGTGGTCCTACCAACATGCACTTTTTTATTACAAACCTGAATGACTTAGCAGAAACAGAACCCAGTGACCCTTAACCTCTGACCCTCTGTACCCTCGGTGTCCTGACATCCTTGCCACACACACACAGTTTTGCGTCCCTTCAACACCTTACCGTGTGCCCCTCTGTTCATGCCCTGCCAGCCACTGGAGACATGGAGAAGTGGACAGGGCGGGGAAGGGGACACATTCTCTGCTCCCGGGAGCTCGTGGTCTGTAGGGGAGATGGATGTTGGATCATTAGTTCATCCATTCATTCATTCAACAGTTTTTATGGCGTGCCCAGTGTGTGTCAGGCACCATTCTTGGGAGCGGGGCTGAGCGGGAGGAGCTGGCCTAGAGAGCACCACATAGATACAGCCCATGACCCTATGAGCTCACATTCTCATCTCGGAGCTGCATGCTGTGAAGGAGAAAAGCAGGCTGCTGTGATAGGGAAAACCAGGAGGGCTTCCTTGAGGTGGTGTGGTCAGGAGGTGATATGTGAGCTGAGGCCCAAGGGATGAGGAGCAAGCCCTGTGGGGAGCAGGGGGAAGAGGGTTTGGGGAGGAGGGAACAGAGAGGGCACAGAGCTGGCTGTCACTGTATGGTGTGAAACAGGGGTTCCAGGTGAGCTAGGAGTAACTAACTGTTCCCGGTGGGTTGGGAAAGGTGTCCCCTGGCAGCTCATTTTTGAGCTGGGTCTTGAAGGGTCAGTAGAAATTGAGTGGCGAGGCAGGAACAGTGAGAGGGAGTTCCAGGTAGGGGGATCAGCAGGTGCAAAGGCATAGAGACATGCTGGAATTGACGTGTTTGTGTATGGTGAAATGCTCGGTGGGACTGGAGGTGAGGTGTCTGGAGCACAGGGTAGGAGGTGAGGCAGGGAAGCTGGGCCGCGTCTGGACCAGGTGGAGCCTCGAGTGCCTGGCTGAGGGGAGGGGCTTTTCCCAGGGCCACTGATTCTCCTGCCTGTCTGTATGTCATAAAAATGCTTTCACAGTGGATTCTCGGGCCCCCTCAAGATTTCCGCGCAGTGGGCCTGGGGGCTGGGCCTGGATATTTGCATTTTTAACAAGCTCCCCCAAGAGGTGGTTTTGAGCTCCAGGCTCTGGATCAGCCTCCAGGCAGCAAGGAGGAAAGGGACGCCATGCTGACAGAGGATTCAGGGTCACTCCCCTGGGTGTGGCCTGGGTGGCTGGGAAGCAGTGCCAAGTCCTGCCCTGTCTGGACCCCCGGCGTCATGGCAGTGAGGCTGAGCCTCAGGGGGTCCTGAGGGAACCATGATGAATAATAATGAAGCCACATGGTCCTCACAGTCTGCCCTATGTGATCTCTTTTTATCCTCGAGACCACCCTGAAGCTGATGCGTTGATCACCCCATTTTACAGATGAGGAAACTGAGGCTCAGAGAGGTGAAGTGGCTCACCCAAGCTCCAGCTGCTGAAACACGGTGGAGCCCCCTCTCTGAGCCCAGAGCTGAGTGAGCACCTCCTTTGGCGGTGAGGAGAACTCACGCCCACACCCTCCCAGAACCCCGTCAGCAGCGCTCTTTACCCGCTTCCCTGTCCTTTGCTCTTCTAGTAGGTGTATCATCACACCTTGACGTTGCTATAATTTGCAGCTCCTTAATTACCAGCCAGGCTTGGTGTTTGTCCTGCGGTGGCGTCTTCGCTGTTTCCTGGTGTGGAAACCACCTGTGGATCAGAGCCAGGGCCAGCCTTCTGAGCCACCAGGCACCTGGCACTTGCAGTCCCGCCTGTCCAGTTGGGGTCTGCAGGATGGGAAGTGCATTCAGTCATAATTTGAACCACTTCTCACAGCAACCCTGAGGCGGGGGTGGGGGGTGGTACCGTGAGTATCCCCATTTTATAGCTGAGGGAACTGAGGCTCAGAGAGGTGAAGTCCTTTGCCTGGTGTGGCACAGTTCCTGAGCGACAGAGCCAGGCATGGCTGCCAGGACTGTCAGATATTTACGTTTTGTGTCCTTCCCTGGGCACCTTGGTCCTTTTCTGTGCGGCAGTTAAGGAAAGAAAGGGGTGTGGGTAGAGTTTCTCTCCCGGGCTGCTGCTGGGAGCTTGGGGGCACTGGAGGGCTCAGGGCTGAGGGGAGTCTGGGTTCATCCTGGCTCTTCTATGACCTGTGTGACCTCGTTAGTCACTCAGCCGCTCTGAGCCTCGTGCCCTCATCAGTAAAGTGTGGCATGACTGCCCTCCTCAAAGGACTGTGGTGGACCTCCGTGTGGATGTGCCAGCCCAGGTCTGACCCTGGTAGATGTTTAATAGGTGAAATCCACCTTTATCGTCTGAATTGTGTTTCCCTCTGGCTCCAGAACAGTGAAGCTCTGGGGAGGGTCGGGGTGGAGGGCAGAGGCAGGGTGTATGGGGGGAGGTCAGAGGTGCATCTGGCCTGGGCCTGTGCGCAGACCCTGTGCAGGACCAGAAGCGCAACTCGTCCGCCATCAGCCCAAGCTCACCCGTGCTCACACGCTTCCGCAAGCCACATCCTTATGCACTTGGCTGGCTGCTACTCTGTGCAGCCCCTGAGGGAACCCGGGGAGCGCGGTTTTGCCTGGGGGAGGCAGGGGAGACCCAACGGGATATACTCAAATAACTGCCATCTTCGCTGCCATTTCAAGTGCCGGTGACGGGATGTCAGCATCTCTCCTGGGTGTGCCCCTTTGCCGCGATGTAGTTTAATGGGAAATCCGCATGTTGGGGTCTATAGGACTCATTCTGTCCACCTCCTCTGTGAACACTGAGGCCTGGGAGGGGCTGGACTTGTCCAAGGTCACCGCCCAGCTGGGAGCACTTCTGAGTCTGGGCTGTTTGTACCCCCATGGGTGGCTCTTACCCTCTTTGTGAGTCGGAGTAGGACCGCAGCCACCCCCTAGGGCATCAGGGGCTTGGTGCTGGCCCCACCTCTGCCTCTTGGAGACCATGTGTCCCTGGGGGAGCCTCAGTTTACCCTTCTGTAAAATGAAGGGAGTGGACTTTGTAAGGCAGCATGTGGTTTGACCATATAGTAGGTGCTTAAATGTTTTGATGCAGTGACTAAGAGAACGAGCTGTAAAGTCAGCAGACCTGGGGCTGAGCCTCAGTGACTTGGGCAAGATATGGGACCTTTTGCCCACCTGGTACACCTTCTGCCTGCAGGTGGAGTCGGGGGTGGGGGAGTGGCTCCCCAGGGCCACATGGTGCCAGCAGGCCGGTGCATGCCCTGAGAACTGTGGGGGCCCCTGGATGAGGGTGGGATGGCGAAGGGAGCTGGGAGCAGGTGACCACCTGCCCACCTTTGGCCTTCAGCTCTCTAGCTCCAAAGAGGTGGTGTGGTCGAGATTCAAACCCAGGTCTGCCTTCTCTGTACCCGTAGGAAAACCTGGGAGGGAGAGAGGGACAGAGGGAGGGTGGGCAGGCAGGCAGCAAGCTGGGGGCCCTGGATCTGCTCAGACTGTCACGCTGGGTCCAGGGGCTCTGCATGTGCCCACCCCCTTTCCCGAAGCACAGGGGCCCTTGGCAGCAGCAGCATGCTGCCCGTCACCTGCCACCCCGTGGTAGAGGAATTCACAGTTTGATTTGGAGGGTAGGGAGATGGTCACTGTCACGGGTGCCCCCAGGAGTCCCCTCAGCCTGCCGCCTTCCCCAGACTCAGCTTCCCTCCGTCCTCCGCCCCACCCCCTCCCATCGACCTTGAGGAGAGCTGGCAGGGCCTGGGGTGTGGGAGGTGGCAGAGGCTCCAGGAAACTTGACAGCCAATTGATTCTTCCTCGGGAAGTTGAAAGTGGAGAGTCGTGTTTGAAGGTTTAGCTGAAATTAGGTCTCAGGGCTATTTTTTGCGAGACGGAGAAGGAGAAGTGTCAGGGAGGGGAAGGCTCGGGGGGCTGGCGGAAGCTGCAGATAAACTCAGTACCCGGTTGATTGCAGATGCTTCTAGAAGCGGGTCTCCGTTCCTTTCCACCACGCACTTTTACTGGATGCTCAGTCGTGTGCACCCTAGGTGGTCCTGAAGCTGTGATGGAGGTCTGCCTGGAGTGCAGTGAGAGCCCAGAACAAAGGGCAGTTACTTCTGGCTGGCGAGGGTGCGGGAGAATTCCTAGACAGGGGATCTTTGGGGTTGGGCTTTGAGGAATGTGTAGGAGTTTGTCAGGAACAAAGGGAGAAGAGTATTCCAGTTAGAGGCGGATTTAACTGAATAGGAACAAGCCACTGGTTCTGTGTGATTAGAGTGTTGGACGAGTTGGAGGCATGAAGGAGAGGAGCCTGGAGAGAAAAGTGAGTGGGTGAATACTTTGGACTAAAGCCTTTAGACTTCCCTCTGTAGGAGGAAGTCTAAGCCACAGGGGATGATGGGTAAGAGCGGAGCCAGCAGGAGATCTTTGGGATGCAGACTTTGGGTTTCCCCAGCTGCTCACCCGTCTTCCCACTCCCACAGCTTCCCTGCACCCTCCTCATGTTTCAGCTGTCTTTCTTTCTCTCTTTCTGACGCACGGAAACAGACACC